ATCATATGGTATTTGTGTTTCTCTGACTGACTTATTTCACTTAGTATGATATGCTCTAGCTCCATTCAGTCATTACAAATGGCAAGATTTTATTCTTTCTGATGACTGAGTAATACTCCTGTGTGTGTGTGTGTGTGTGTGTGTGTGTGTGTGTGTGTGTGTACACACACCACATCCTCTTTACCCATTCATCAATCGATGGACATTTGGGGTTCCTTCCATAATTTGGCTATTTTGTTTTATTTTTTTTAGTTTTCAAAAAATGTTTATTTATTTTAAGAGAGAGAGAGAGAGAGAGAGAGAGGGCACACTCACACACAAGCAAGGGAGGTGCACAGAAAGAGGGAGAAAGAATCCCAAGCAGGTTCTACACTGCCAACGCAGAGCCCATTGTGGGGCTTTGTCCCACAAACCAATAGATCACAACCTAAGCTGAAATCAAGAGTCAGATGCTTAACCAACTGAGCCACCCAGGCACCCCAATTTGGCTATTGTTGATAATGCTGCTATAACATCAGGGTGCATGTATCCCTTCAAATCAGAATTAAAAGTCATGGAATTTTAAATATTCATTAGATCTTAACAAGAGGAAGGATTCTCTGAGCATTAAAACAGTAGAAGATGAGCCAAAATAAAATAGGAAAATTCCTGGATGTAGGGCAGTTCTATTTTTTAAAAAAGAGAGAGCAAGCAGGGGAGGGAAAGACAGAGGGAGACAGAGGATCCAAAGCAAGCTCCATGCTGACAGCAGAGAGCCTGATGCGGGGCTCGAACTCATGAACCGTGAGATCATGACCTAAGCCGAAGTCAGACACTTAACTGACTTAACTACTCAGGCACCCCAGGGCAGTTCTACTTTTAACTTTCTGAGGAAACTTCATACAGTTTTCCACAGTGGAAAATAGTCAACTAGTGTCGCATCAGAGTGTAGTCTTAACCACTACACTGTGCTGTCTCTACTGATCAAATAAAGTACATCTTAATTTTCAGTTTCAATTGCCAAATACAGAAATAAGCACTTTACTATCCTATCACTGAATAGTAGAATCACTATCACTATTAGAAGAAAATTACGTCTTCTAAAAAATTAACTGATGATGTTACTATGTACACATATGTAGATAAAAATACCAACTAATAACCTGGAGAATTTTTCACACTGAGAATATGTGAAGTTTGGTTAGTAGACACATGAACTATAAAGCCAAATTTATTTTTAAAGTGCCTTTAACTGCAATGTAAATCAACCCTATACTGAGATTCTTTTTTTTTTATAAATAGATATCAGCTGAAGGTACCTGAAATTGAAAACAAAAACATAATGGGAAAACTGTGCTATTCTATCAATACTCAGAATCTTCTAAAAAATTGCCTGTGCTTCGTATTCTGCCCCAAGACAGTTTGACAGTAAAGAATTAAAATTACTTGAGGTTATAGTGTACAGTTTTTTATTTTTCTTATTTTCATCTTTTAATGTTTTACTTATTTTTATGAGAGAGAGTGCAAGCAGGGAAGGGCAGAGAGAGAGGGGGACAGAGGATCCGAAGTGGGATCTGTGCTGACAGCAGAGCCTGATGCAGAGCTTAAACTGATGAGCCATGAGATCATAACCTGAGCAAAAGTTGGATGCTTAACCGACTGAGCCACCTCCAGTGCAATTTTTTAGAAATAAAACTTTAGCTTCCACCTATTACCTGATCTGATGAGATTTCTGAATCAAATGTAGAATCAAATAGATTCAATCCAGGAGATCTAGAAGTATAATTCATAAGAAAAGAAAATCCAGGGGATTCCTTTTGTGTTTGACCTTCAGGCGTTATATTTCTATTTCTGTTACAGAGAAATAAGAAATAATAAAAATGTTAAAAAATATATTACTAAGTATGCAGACTGGTAAACACCATAAGAAATACCATAGAAGTAAGAATTAGCACAGTAGGGAAAGGGAAGGAATAGTTATTGAGGTGACAAACCTCTTGAGAAAAAGATAGTTTGAAGTGAAAAATGTTAAATAAAGTAGAACAATCAAGTATGGGATGATGATAACAATGAAGTTCAACTGAGAATAAACCCTAAACTGCGTTCAGGGTCTATTCTAGGTATTTCCATTGGCATTAACTTACGTATTCCTCACAGTATCTCTATGAAATAGATATTACCACCTCCATTTTACAGAAGAAAATTTTGAAGCATAGAAAGGTTAAATGACTTTCTCCAAGAAATGTAAATGCCAACTTAAATTCAGCAATCCAGATTCAAAGTCCAAGCTTTTAACTTTGAGGCTATACTGTCCCCAACACATTGAAAGCCAATTACAAGATTTTAGTCTTAATGAGAAGTCAGTCATTACATACTGTTGCATAAGGAAGTTAAACTAGAAAATGATTTGGGAAAAATAATTAGAGAAGACAGTATACAACACAGTGGTCAAATGCATGAATTCTGGAGGCAGAAATGCCTGGGTTTGAATCACAACTCTATCACTAATGAGTTGTATCACCTGTGATTCTGTTTCCTCTTCCTCTAAGTATAATAGTGTATTTACATCTCATAAAGTTTATAAAATGTTTAGACACAGTTAATGCTATTGTTAAATATAATAGATATCTGAAGATACTTCCATAACTGTCTCCATGACCATCAATGAATCACTTAACTTTACAGATTAGTTTTCTCATCCATAAACAGAGGTTTTAGTATATGGCTGCCATTCTTTTTACAGTTCTCAGATTTGATGATGAGTTCTAGTTTGAACATACTGTGAGTCAACAGCATGACTTTCACATATAAAACGTTTATTAACAATTCAAACTACAGAAGTAGAAAATGGGTGAGAGATTCCTGAAGTGAAATTTGTTTGACATATGTTTTTAAAAAATCTTAAGATAAAAAAAAAAAAAGAATCTTAAGGTTTGTAGTTTTAAAAGGGATTAAACTACACAAAAAGGTTAAATGCAGCACTATTCTCTTGGCTGCAAGCTACAAATCTGTGGTTTCCAAAGTTAAATAATCATGTTAGAGATATTTCTGCCTACCTAGGTTACTTGACAGATGGCAATTCTTGCTTTAGACAACATAAAGGAAAATTACAGCTGGAACATTATTCAGTGATGTCCACAAGCTATACCATACGTGACAGTTGCTTTTTAGTTTGACATTTAACATTTTTCCATACAGTTTTTATCCTTTGGAAAAATCTAAAATCTATATACTATTGCACTGGGTAAGTACTCAGAATCTATGCCATCTTCATCTAAGTGTTGTAGGAAAAATGGGGAAGAGGTTCTATGGAACAAGAATGGCAGAATGCTAATAATTATTTGAACAGGATAATAGGTACATGGAGGTTTGTTATGCTAGTCTCTCCTTTATGTATTTGAAATATTCCATATAAAAACCTTTTTAAAGTTATAGGTACTAGACATTTTACTATTTCCATCAATTATTTACATAACATTGGCCCAGTATATAGATTCTTTAATTATAATTATTGATTAAAATCCTACATTTCAAAAGAGGGGGTTTTAGGAAACAATGATTTCTCCAAAGGTTCAGGTGTTTTCACAGCTTCAGGAGTTCTTAAAAATAAAGGAATTTCAGGAGTTCGTGGAAAATTCTCGGTCCTTTCTTCTACTTCATCACTATTATCTTCTATTGGCTTCCCAAAACGTTCTGCGCATATAACCTACAAATTCAAAATAACAGAAAACTATAAAAATGAATGCTATTACATTAACAAACTCACATATATATAAAAGTGTATGAGGTAGAAAACACCATATTAACCTATTATGTTATCATTTCATAGACAAAAGAACTAAAATATTAATTGATGAAAGTGGTATCAAAATATAACTGCAAAATACGGAAAAATAACTATTTTTAATTTTCTAATTTTTCTTTTCTTCCCTGATCCACCTCCCCTAACTCTACCTGAAAAAGGAAAAGATAACCAGAACATACTGAAACTGATGAAGAAAAATGGTTAGGAATGACTTTTTTAAATTTCCACATCATGCTCTGACTCAAGAATTGTATATGATAGCTCTTTAAAAGGAAAAAGTAATTTAATTCTAAGCAATCTTACTCTCATCAGTTATGTTCTTTATACTTTTTTGCCCTTATAAATTCATTATACTATTTTCTCTGCAAAGGTTGAGAAATTCAACAGAAATTGACTTTTGTAAGGTAGGAATATGATTTCTCAAATATGTTTGCTATACCAAATATCATTTCAGAAACAATTTGGGTCCCTCTACCAAAAAAATTAAAATGTGCTTTTTATCTGTTTTTCTTTTTTTTTTTATTTTTAAATTTTTTTTTTCAACGTTTATTTATTTTTTTTGGGACAGAGAGAGACAGAGCATGAACAGGGGAGGGGCAGAGAGAGAGGGAGACACAGAATCGGAAACAGGCTCCAGGCTCTGAGCCATCAGCCCAGAGCCTG